ATATAAAAAAAGTAAGTAAAAAGTAAATAAAAAGAAAATTTATGAAAAGTAAAAATTTTAAAATTTATGTTTTCAAAAAAAAATTTAAATTTATAAAATATAAATAATATAAAAAAGAAACTAAAATTCCAATAAATTAACCCAAACATGCCCTGTGCATCCGACAGCATAAAGAAAAAGATATCGTTCCTCACTTTCGTTCCGTGTGCTATCCAATTACATCCTAAACAAAAAAGCCAAAACCATACCCCCAAAGTTTCTTCCTTTTCCACTTCACCTTTTCTCTCCCGCACTCCGAAGTCTGTCCGCATCCCACTTTCCGGTTCCGATAAGAGGCTTTTTCTCATTTTCAGTTTGTTTATCCATCTTCCAAAGCTCCGGCCGTCCGGCGTCAAGAAGAAAGAAGATGAGAATGGAAACTTTTTGAAACGGAAGACGGAAAGGGGGAGAGAGTGGTAACTGATCAATAATGAGTGGCATCAGGCAGCGACAGCGACTTGTGTCCACGCGCGGTCGCAGTGATGATCACGCGCCGCCGCCGCCGCCCCCTGCGCCTCCGCCGCCAACTGCGCCTCCGCCGCCAACTGCGCCTCCGCCGCCAACTGCGCCTCCGCAGCCAACTGCGCCTCCGCCGCCAATGCAGGAAGTGTATAATATAATACCAGTTCACAGTCTTTTGAGAGACCACCCGTCACTAAGGTATACCGAGGTACGCGCTGCGGCAGATGCTTTACGAACTGTGGCAGAGCTCCGGCCGCCGCAGTTCTATCCTTGGGCGTCGCACATGGACCTTCTGGACTGGTTGGGCGCCTTCTTTGGGTTCCAAAATGATAACGTTAAGAACCAGCGAGAGCACCTGGTACTCCACCTGGCCAACTCCCAAATGCGCCTTCAACCTCCCCCAGAATCCCCAGAGGTCCTCGACAAGGGTGTTCTCCGCCGATTCCGCAAGAAGCTTCTCAAGAACTACACCTCCTGGTGTTCCTTCCTCGGGCAAAGGTCTCATATCATCCTTCCCTCCGGCCGCAATACTGATCCCCGCCGTGAACTCCTGTATGTCTCACTCTACCTCTTAATCTGGGGAGAATCTGCAAACCTCCGCTTCATGCCGGAATGCATCTGCTATATCTACAACCATATGGCGATGGAATTAAACAAAATTCTGGAGAATCGCATCGATGATTCCAGAGGGATGCTATTTGTGCCCTCAAGTTCTGGGGATTGTGCTTTCTTGAAGAACATAGTGATGCCGTTTTACGAAACGATAAGGAAGGAAGTGGAGGACAGTCGGAATGGAACTGCGCCGCATTCTGCTTGGAGGAACTACGATGACATTAACGAGTATTTCTGGAGCAGGAGGTGTTTCAAGAGTCTGAAGTGGCCAATCGACATGAGGAGCAACTTTCTCTATACAGCTAACAAGAACGATAGGGTGGGGAAGACGGGGTTTGTGGAGCAGAGGTCGTTTTGGAATGTGTTTCGGAGCTTCGACAGGCTATGGGTTTTGTTGATTTTGTTTTTGCAGGCAATGATAATTGTTGCTTGGGAGGAGACGGAGCATCCATGGGAAGCATTGGAGAGAAGAGAGGTGCAGGTGAAATTGTTGACGGTTTTTATCACCTGGGGTGGGCTTAGACTTTGGCAATCCATTCTTGATGCTGGGACTCAGTATAGCTTGGTTACAAAGGAGACGGTGTGGCTGGGAGTGAGGATGGTATTGAAGAGTGTAGTTGCGCTGACATGGATTGTTGTTTTTTCGGTTCTCTATGGGAGGATTTGGAGTCAAAAGAATGCTGATGGGAATTGGTCCTCTGCGGCAAATCAGAGGATTATTACATTTCTTGAGGCTGTCTTGGTGTTTCTTATTCCAGAGTTGTTGGCATTGGTGCTCTTTTTGCTTCCATGGATCCGGAATTGGTTTGAGGAGTTGGACTGGATGATAGTGTCTTGGTTGATTTGGTGGTTTCACACTCGAATTTTTGTAGGGCGGGGTTTGAGGGAAGGTCTGGTGAACAACATCAAGTATTCTTTATTTTGGATTCTGGTGTTGGTTTCCAAGTTCTCCTTCAGTTATTTTCTTCAGATTAAGCCATTGGTTGCCCCAACCAATAAACTTTTGAATCCTACGAAGGCACCTTACCTTTGGCACGAGTTTTTCGGCAACTCTAATAGAATTGCTGTGATTCTACTATGGCTGCCTGTTGTTTTAATTTATCTGATGGATTTGCAACTTTGGTATTCTGTCTTCTCATCCATTGTTGGTGGAACAATTGGGCTGTTTTTACATTTGGGAGAGATTAGGAATATGGAACAGCTTAGGCTTCGGTTTCAATTCTTTGCTAGTGCCATGCAATTTAACCTCAAGGCAGAGGACCAGCTGCTAAGTCCCAAACAAACACTGGTGAAGAAGCTCCGTGATGCAATTCATATGCTGAAGCTGCGTTATGGTCTTGGTCGGCTCTACATGAAGATTGAATCAAACCCAGTGGAAGCAACACGATTTGCCTTGATTTGGAATGAAATAATTATTACTTTCAGGGAGGAAGATCTTGTCAGTGATAGAGAACTTGAGCTCCTGGAACTGCCGCCTAATTGTTGGGAAATTAGTGTTATTCGATGGCCGTGTTTCCTTCTGTGCAATGAGCTTTTGCTTGCTCTTACTCAAGCTATAGAGCTGAGAGACGCACCTGACAGGTGGGTTTGGTTGAAGATTTGCAAAAATGAGTACAGGCGGTGTGCTGTTATTGAAGCTTATGACAGCATCAAGTATTTGCTTCTTACCATTGTTAAGCAGGGCACGGAAGAGCATTCCATAGTTTCAAAGTTTTTCATGGAGATAGATAAGTGCTGCTTGGTTGACGAGAATTTAACTGATACATACAAGATGTCTGTGCTCCAAAAAATTCATGCCAAGCTTATATCTCTTATTGAGCTTCTAATGCAACAAGAAAAAGATCTGAGTAAAGCAGTGAATATATTACAGGCCCTTTATGAACTATCGATTCGAGAATTCCCAAGGGTGAAGAGGTCTATTGCTGAGTTGATCGGGGCACATCTGGCAACGGCAAGTCTAGCATCAGGTGAAGGACTGCTCTTTGAGAATGCTGTTATGTTTCCTGATAGCAGGGATGCTAATTTCTATAAGCAGCTAAAACGTCTGCATACAATTCTTACTTCTAGAGATTCAATGCACAATGTCCCACTCAACCTAGAGGCAAGACGGCGCCTTGCTTTCTTTAGCAACTCATTATTCATGAATATGCCTCATGCACGTAATGTGGAGAAAATGATTGCTTTTAGTGTTCTGACTCCTTATTATGATGAAGATGTGTTATATGGAAAAGAAATTCAAAAGGAAAATGAAGATGGCATTTCCATTCTGTTTTACCTTCAGAAGATCTACGAAGATGAGTGGAGAAATTTTATGGAGCGGATGTGGCGGGAGGGACTGGAGAAGGAGGATGACATCTGGTCAAAAAAGTTCAGGGATCTCCAACTTTGGGTATCATACAGGGGCCAGACTTTATCCCGTACTGTTAGGGGAATGATGTATTACTATAGGGCTCTTAAGACGCTCTCTTTTCTTGATTCTGCATGTGAGATGGATATAAGCAAGGGATCACAAAACCTAGCTTCTTATACTCCATTAAACCAAAACAGTGGTTTGGTGGATGGTGCACAGGCTCCGGCATCAAAGAAACTCAGCCAAACTGCTAGTGGTGTAAGCCTCTTGTTCAAAGGAGATGAGTATGGGAAAGCTCTGATGAAATTCACCTATGTGGTTACCTGCCAAATATACGGAGTGCATAAGGCAACCACTCCCAGAGACCGACGTGCTGAGGATATTCTTTATCTGATGAAAGAGAATGAGGCCCTTCGGATTGCATATGTTGATGAGGTTCACTTGGGTAGAGATGAAGTTGAGTATTACTCTGTCCTAGTGAAATATGATCAGGAGCTGCAGAAGGAGGTGGAGATTTATCGTATTAGGTTGCCAGGACCCTTGAAACTTGGGGAAGGAAAACCAGAGAACCAGAACCATGCCATAATTTTCACAAGGGGTGATGCAGTTCAGACAATTGACATGAACCAGGATAATTATTTTGAAGAAGCTCTTAAGATGCGCAATTTGTTAGAGGAGTTTGACACCTATTATGGCATAAGGAAGCCAACAATTCTGGGAGTTCGGGAAAATATCTTCACAGGATCAGTCTCCTCACTTGCTTGGTTCATGTCTTCCCAAGAAACAAGTTTTGTCACCCTTGGGCAGCGTGTTCTGGCGGACCCTTTGAAGATTCGAATGCATTATGGTCATCCAGATGTGTTTGATCGATTCTGGTTCTTGAGTCGGGGAGGAATTAGCAAGGCTTCCAAAGTTATTAATATCAGTGAGGATATCTTTGCTGGCTTCAACTGTACACTGCGAGGTGGCAACGTGACCCACCATGAATATATACAGGTGGGCAAGGGAAGGGATGTGGGGTTAAACCCAATTTCCATGTTTGAGGCCAAAGTTGCTAGTGGCAATGGTGAGCAGGTGTTAAGTAGAGATGTATACCGCCTGGGTCATAGGTTGGATTTCTTTCGGATGCTTTCATTTTACTACACAACTGTAGGATTTGTCTTCGACACAATGATGGTGGTACTGACTGTCTACACATTTTTGTGGGGCCGCCTCTATCTTGCTTTGAGTGGCATTGAGAGTTCTTCTAGTAGCAATAATGCAGCCCTTGGTACAATCCTGAATCAGCAGTTTATAATACAGTTGGGTCTGTTCAGTGCCCTACCAATGATTGTTGAGAACTCTCTTGAGCATGGGTTTCTTCGAGCAGTTTGGGACTATCTGACTATGCAGTTACAACTTGCTTCACTTTTCTACACATTTTCTATGGGAACACGAACCCATTACTTTGGTCAGACCATTCTTCACGGAGGTGCTAAGTATCGAGCCACTGGACGTGGTTTTGGGGTGCTGCACAAGAGCTTTACTGAGAATTATAGACTATATGCTCGAAGCCATTTTGTTAAAGGAATTGAGCTTGGTGTTATTCTAATTGTATATGCATCTCATAGCAAATTTGAAAAAACCTTTGTTTTCATTGCGATGACAATTTCATGCTGGTTCCTGGTGATCTCATGGATGATGTCTCCCTTTGTATTCAACCCCTCTGGCTTTGATTGGCTCAAGACAGTGTATGATTTCGACAATTTTATGAATTGGATATGGCATCCTGGTGGGGTTTTTACAGCTGCTAATCAAAGCTGGGAAACATGGTGGTATGAGGAACAGGATCATTTCAGAACAACTGGTCTGTGGGGAAAGTTGCTGGAGATAATTTTAGATCTTCGTTTTTTCTTCTTCCAGTATGGTATTGTGTATCGGTTGGGGATTGCAAATCAAAGCACCAGTATTGCTGTGTACTTGCTATCTTGGATATATATAATCGTGGCAGTTGGAATTTCTATGATATTAGCCTATGCTCGTGACAAATATGGTACAAAGGAGCACATTTACTATCGGCTAGTTCAGCTTGTAGTCACTGTTATTATAATACTAGTGATCGTTTTATTGCTGAAGTTCTCCGGCTTAAAGTTTCTTGATCTTGTGACGAGCAATTTGGCATTCCTCCCAACAGGCTGGGGCATAATATCAATTGCCCAAGTGCTTAGACCTTTTCTGCAAGCCACTTTGGTGTGGGAGACAGTGGTTTCTTTGGCTCGGCTGTATGATTTGCTATTTGGAGTGATTGTCATGGCTCCTGTGGCATTGTTATCATGGTTGCCTGGTTTTCAGGCTATGCAGACAAGAATCTTGTTCAATGAGGCATTTAGCAGGGGTCTTCAAATATCTCGGATACTTTCTGGCAAAAAGTCTCAGGCATAATTGTGAGGTAACTCCTTTCTCCACTTTTAACTGAAGATTTTTTATTTCTCTGAATTTTAATTTGTTTGGTGAACTGAAGCTTGCTCTCGAAATTTACATCCAGTTGTATACGATTTTATGGTTTTTTTCTTGAAACAAGTTCCTATACACAAGTTGCATGTGCCATTGCTTAAATTGAAGTGAATATCTTTCTGATTCCTTTGTTCTTATTTCAATAAACAATTGAAAGTAATAAATATTCAAATTTGATGAGGCATGACTTCCTCATTCAGAATCCATGCGTGTTTCTAGTTGTTTCTTCATAATACAACAATGCTGTCCTGGAAGGCTGGAGCCTTTAGTTTTCTGTTTTCCCATGTCTCTATTTTGCTGCCATAATTGCAACTTTTTCTTAGTCTGAATTTGATAAATATTTTCTGTTTTACCATTTCTGATGCTGGGAGTTCCGAGTATAAGGTTTCTGTACAGTGTTCTTACTCCACTCCCCTGGCACGTAATTGATATTAGTCCTCAAGAAATTCCTTTCTGGTTAGCTAATGGTTTGCTATTGATCTGCCTCAGATGCTTCTATCGTGCTACTCCAAGTACGTCATTTTTGGCATTTCGAAGTTCAAAAGGCTAGTGGCCTATTAAGCTTTTCATTTCCATCCACTCCTCCATGCATGCAGTTTCATGCCCATACTGTACTAAGGTAATTTCTTTCACCTAGACATATAATTGCTCATTTTACAGCTGAGACACTTTTCATCGTTAGCCAAACACTACCCACTATCCTCTATTGTGTATCTTTAGGCAAAAATTGCTTTTGGTAAACTTAAAACTGCTACTTTCTGTTTCAGTTAAAGAGATTCATTACCACTATTGCATGCATGGTTTATTATTTCCTGGCAACTGGGACTTAAGAGATCAACCTCATTCGCCCGTTTCCTTGTCATTTGAGAGGTTATCTGAAAGATTCTAACATTAGATGTTTGTGGCATGGCCAAGTGACTGTAAAGGGTGAACTTTAGCGTATGATTCTGTACATATTGTCAGTACCCAATATTGCTTTTCTTGAACCTTCTCCAAATTAATGTCTGAAATCACTTCAGTTTTCATAATGATCAAGTCTGATAGCCAAATTGCCCGGAACACTCAATATTTCAAGCTCTAAAATCTTGGCTCCTGTGGGCAAACTATAAATGAGATGCAAACGAAACCGATGAAAATTGTTTGTACTGCGTACCTCAAAGAACCAGTGCCTGAGATGGGAAGTTGCATGAAACAAAGAAATCCCAAGAGGAGATTCAGACACTACTTTTAACCTGGAACATAGATTGAAATGACTTCATGGCCGAAACTGGTTCCCTGAAATTTTCAACCTTTAAAAGAAAGTTAGGTGAGCAAAAACTCAATAATGAAGCTTCTTTACGGAGATCAGAAG